GGAATAGTAAGAGAGATTTGGACATAACCCAATATGACTAACTCTGAAAGTGGGGGGAGAAAAGACCACTAGCCAAGGACTGTGAATGGACTCCAGAAGCTAAAAGCCACCTCTGGCAGCCAGCCGGCAAGGAGCCAGAGTCCCCAGTCCTACAACCACATGGAACGCAATCCTGCCCAAAGCCTGAATACCTTGGGGAACAGCCCTGCAAACCGTGATGTAAAGCTTGTGAGAAAGCCTATTTATACCATTTAAATGTCTGTGGGCATTTGTATAATAGCAATTTAAAAATGCACCTGCTGATGAGCTGGGGTGCAGCTCAGCAGCACTATAGAAGGAAGGAGGGAAGGAAGAGAGGAAGGGAGAAGGAAGGAAGGAAGGAAGGAAGGAAGGAAGGAAGGAAGGAAGGAAGGAAGGAAGGGAGGGAGGGAGGGAGGGAGGGAGGGAGAGTGGGAGGAAGAAGGAAGGAAAAAGAAAGAAGGAAAGAAAAGAAAAAAGGCACTCACAATAATTTTCACTTATTCTGATCCTGGGACACTGAGCCTGGGAAGAGAGTCGCCCTAGCCAGGAATTAAGAGACCCTGACTACCTAACTCGGCCAGCAGCCAGCTCATTGTGCCTCATTCTTTCTGAGCTTCACTCACTATGAACTAAGTAAGGCACAGAATACACCAATTTGTGTATGGAGTCTATAGGCCTATTCTACCTGCACACAACTTTTGGTTCTTTGTTCTGTGCTTCCTACTTGAGCTACATCCTCAGTTTTACAGATACCTAATTAGGTGCTGACTCTCTGGCGATGTTAGGCCAGTGGTTGGTGGTGAATAGCAGCCTCCATCCCCCACCCTCCACTCCCCCTTCCCCCAAGCAGCACCATGCTCAGTAAGGCTTCATTTGTTGACCTGCCACTCACCCACACACTTCCATTTGCTGCTACCAGCCCCAAACAGGTGATTGCTGTTCCAGTCTGATACCAGTCTGGTACAAAGAATTCACAGCTATTCATACCATACTTATGAGAAAGGATTAACCAAAAGGCACCTGCCTGGGGGGTCAGACTGCAGGCCCAGGCAGCCCTCTGGTTGGCTGCTCTGAAAGACTATACCTTATCTCTAATGAACTCCTATCTCAAATCTACACTTATCTCTAATTAACCAGCAAAAACTGGGAAGTGGAGCTATGGCTCAAGTGGTAGGGCACCAGCCTTGAGCAAAAGAAGGTCAGGGACAGCACTCAGGCAGGCCCTGAAAGGAAAAGAAGGAAGAATAGATGTACAGCACCTTTACCTACAGGGTGCTCATTTTGAGGACTTTGAGTACTGTGCCTGTCTGAGAGCAGAGTCCCCTTCCCCCCATGCACACCATCACCCTGGTGTGTGAACCTTCTTACACAGTCCCTGAGCATTGGCACACTGACTCTGGTAGCCCTGGATGATGGGCCTTTCCCGCCTTGGCTTTCAGTAGCTGTTTCACACACACACACACACACACACACACACACACACACACACACACACCTCACGCCTGTGAGTTCTCGGAGGGCCAAAGGAAACCAGAGGGGTCTGCACATGGAACTCCAATGTCAGGCAAGTGCCATCCAGCAGCCTCTTATCTGGGCCTTTAATCCAAGGATGTGGGGGTGCAGGGAACTTGGAGCAGAGGTCCTGAGGAGTCAAAGCCTTGCTGTGAGGCCCCCGTCTCCAGCCCCTCTTGGTCCTCAAGGGTTCTCTACTATGTTGGAGATGGCAGCATGTCTTCTGAAACCCCTGTGTGCCCACCCATGCCCTGGTATTGTGCACAAGCTGGAATCCAGAAGATGGACCACAGGCACCTGTTTGGCTTGCTGATAGGTGACCATCAGCAATACCTCCCCTCCCCCGCCCATATCTGTCTGGCATCCTCATCTTCATCATTGCCCTTGTCTATCACAGCAACCTTTGAAAAGCAAAGCCTAAAATGCAGCCACATCTCTAGGTCATGGACTAGTCAGTGGCAGGAGAAATGGAGCCCAGCTCTGATCACCAGAGTCCAAGTCCCTGGGAGCCAATGAGGACCAGACACCCACCTTGTCGATGAAGGCCGCAAACTTGTTGTTAAGACACTTGATCTGCTCCTTCTCCTCGTGCTTCACACACTGCGCATTGGGGTCGATCTCCAGGTTGAGGGGTGTCAGAAGGCTCTCGTTGATGCTCACGGTGGTGATGTAGGATGGGCTGGGCCCGCCAATGCCTCCCGCACGGTAGCCAAAGCTGCTGCGTCCACTACGGAGGGGTGGCCTGTAACTCACTGCCATCCTGGGGGACCCCATTGCATGCAGGCTCCTGCTGCTGAAGTCCCGGAGGTATCTGTAGCCCGGCCCCCTGGGACTGCTCCCTTGGGAGGCCATAACACTGACACAGCTGTGACCCCCAGGCTTGGGCACCACAGCAGAGTGGGAGCTGAAGTTCCTGGGCCCACAGCTGGATCTGAGGCGGTAGGAGCAGTTGGCCATGCCTCTAGCTGTGTAGCATAGATCTCAAGCACAAAGGGAAGATGGAGGAGTGACAGGGTCTCTCACGGAGAGACCTTTTATCAGCCAGAGTACAGTTCTCTCAGCCACATAAAAGGCCAGAGAAAGTTATTAAGGCCATTTATGAGCGTGGGAATCCCGCTAGGCAGTCTAACAGGAGACCTGAAACTTGCCGCTTTTAATAGGCATATCAAGGGGACCCCACAGCCCAATAAAACTGTCCCCCCAATGTGTCAACCTCACAGACCTAGACATCTCTATCAAGCTCATGAGGGGATCATTATCGCACAAAAGTGGGCCAAGGCTGGGCCAGCATGTTCCTGGGAATGGAAGATCCTGCGTCCCACGGAGGTTCTACACAGCCACCCTTCCAGGCCAGCTCATGAGGAAGGAGCTCCCCAAACCTTTCCTGATATCTGGGGACGACCCTCACTGCATTCCATCCTGAAGCGTGAAGGTTGGACAGCTTGTCTCTCTATCCTCCCAGATAGGAGCACATATCAAGTCCCCAGGAAGTACAGGGAGATGGCAAAGACCAGGTGTCCCATATCATCCCCAAATACTCGCAGAGCCCAGGGCAGTGGTTGCCTTGGGAACAAGCAGGGGCTGAGGTCTGAGCAAAGTAAGAGCCGCCCTGTGTGCTCTCCTCAGTGGGGTCATGTGCAGTCCCATGAATGCGGGTCATGCTCAGTCATATGGATGGGGGTCATGTTCAGTCACATGGATGGGGTCTGCCCTTGGGGAACCCAGGTTCCACGGAGGAGACTGGACAGATGAGAAAGAAACACAGATGTGTGCTCTGGGCTCTCTAAGGAGAGTCACTCTCAGCTGGCTGAAGGCCACAGAGAAGGGCAGAACGTTGCCAAATCCCAGTAGATAGATGGTAAGACTTGTCCAGAGTACAGAGGCAACAGAAGCACACACACTGAGTAGAGTCTCTATGCACACCTGGTTCCTGGACAAGTTACCTAGGATTGCTTGCTTTGCCCCCACCCCATCTTACTGACATCCTTTTTGTAGTACCCAAGACAGCACAGAAATATGGAGCCATTTGGTGTCTTGTGTGTGTGTGTGTGTGTGTGTGTGTGTGTGTGTGTGTGTGTGTGTTTACCGGTCCTAGGGCTTGAACTCAGGGCCTGGGCACTGTCCCTAAACTTTTCTGCTCAAGGCTAGTGTTCTACCGCTTTGAGCGATAGCTCAATTTCTGGCTTTTTAGTAGTTCATTTAAGAGTCTAATGGACTTTCCTGCCAAGGCTGGCTTTGAACCACCATATTCAGATCTCAGCCTCCTGAGTAGCTAGAATTACAAGTGTAAGTCATTAATGCCCAGTGAGCTGTGTCTTTTGACAGAGCAGTGTCAAACCACCCAAGTCCCTACTCCCAGCTAAAGTTCTCAAGCATGGGGCAAAAATAAAAATAATCTAAAAGCCAAGCATCAATGGCTCATGCTTGTAAATCTAGCTACTCAGGAGGCTGAGATCTGAGGATCACAGTTTGAAGCTAGTCCAGACAGGCAAGCCCCGGGAGACTCTCATCTACAATGAACACCACCCACCCACCAAAAAAAAAAAAAAAAGCCAAAAATGGAGGTATGACTCAAATGGTAAACACTAGGTTTGAGCACAGAAGCTCAGAGACAGTGCCCAGGTCCTGATTTTAAGCCCAGGATCTGCACAAAATAAAACTCTGAGGGTACAACAGGAACTACTCACAGTTCTAGCCTAAGCTGTTTCTGCCCACTCAGGAAGCACCCACAGATAGTGTCCTGAGCAGTGGCCACACTGCCCTCTGCTGCCCAGACTAGAGAAAAGGAAGAAGGCTCAGTATGAGCCCCCTCAAGGCATGGAGAGATCACTGATGGCTCAAAGAGCTCCTGGGTGTGTGTGGGGGTGGGGGTCATAGGCACTCCAGGCCCTATATCTTCTCCTGTGAGGAGTCCTGAGAAGAGCTGGGGAGTGGCAGGGTGCAGAATGGAGGCCATCAATGGTGGGGAAAATGTTGTGGCATATAACTAAAGTGGTAGAGGATAACTAGCAGGCTGAAGTGACAAGGACTCAGCTTTGGGCTCCAGCGAAGTGCCAGTTCCAGGATGCCCAACCTGGCCAAGCACCTTTGCTTTGGAGAGATCTTTCAGGACCATTGCAGCCTGGCTGGGGATGGGGGAGAGGTTGGGACCATGATGCCCTCCAGTCCTTGGTCATAATTCAGAAGTCTTGTGAAGAAGGAGTTGTTGAAAGAGACACATATGAAGGAAAACTTACAAACTTATAACTGCCTCTTCCCTGCCTTCTCCCAGGAGCTCCCCAGCTCTATCATACCTACAGGAGGTCACAAACCCAAACCTGGCTCTCTGTGGGGCTGAGAAGCTGTGTAAAAAATCACCGTGGTGCCCTGGGGGCTTTAGAAAAGACTGTCCAATGTAAGAATAGGCCTGAGGACCAATGGAATAGAAGACCCAGAAATGCATCCACAGACCTATAGCACCTAGTATTTGATAAGGGAGCCAAAATCACAGGATGGAAGAAAGACAGCCTCTTCAAGAAATGGTGTTGGCAGAGCTGGCTATGCAGAAAACAAGGTAGATCCTTATCTATCACTCTGCACTAGAATCAATTTCAAATGGATCAAAGACCTCAATGTAAGGCCGCATACCCTGAAAATATTACAGGAGGACAGGGGAAACACTAGGGCTCCATGGCACAGGACAAAACTTCCTAAGTAAAGATCCAGAAACACAACAAATCAAAGATTGGATAAATAGAATTGCACCTAACTAAAGAGTTTCTGCATAGCAAAGGACATAGCTAGCAAGATCAATGGAAAGCCCACAGAATTAGAGAAGATCTTTACTATGTATACATCAGACATGGGTCTCATATCCAAAATATACTTAAAGCTCAAAAATTAAACCCCTCAAAAACAACTCCCCAAAGAAACAACAATCCAACTAATAAATTGGCTAAAAAACTTAAAGACTTCTCAGAAGAAGTAAGAATGGCCAATAGACACATGAGGAGATATTCAACATCTCTAGCCATAAAAGAAATGCAAATCACAACAACATTGAGATTCCCCCTCATCCAGTTAGGATGCTCGTATCTAGAAAAGTAACAATAACAGATGCCGGCAGGGATGTGGCCAAAAGGGAACACTATTACACTGTAAACTTGTTCAGCCACTCTGGAAAGCAGTATGGAGTTTCCTCAAAAAGCTAAACATAGAGCTCCCTTATGATCCAGCAATCCTACACTTGGGCCTTTACTCAAATGATCACAAACAAGACCACACTAAAGCTACTAGAACAACTACATTATTTGCAGCATTATTTACCATAGCTAAGCTATGGAACAACCCAGATGCCCCTCAGTGGACGAATGGATCAAGAAAATGTGCTATATATACACGATAGAATTCTATGCTTCCACAAGAAAGCATGGCATTGTCCCATTCTTAAGGAAATGGAAAGAATTGGAAAATATTATATTAGATGAAGTAAGCCAGACCCAAAGAAACATAGGTTGCATGGTTTCTCTCATTAGTAATAATTAGAATGTGTCTATAAATCTACAAGTAAGCCCAATGGATAGTAAAAACAAAAAAGAATTATACTTGGAAATGATAAACAGGATTGTAAACATTCACACAGTAAGACCAAAGGAGAATATTCTTAGGAGAGGCTCACAAGGGCTCAATAGCTATGTGTATATGATCATATCCAAATGAACTCCAAGAAATGGAAACTAGAGTTTTTTATTGTACTGTTTGAGGTTCTTTTTTCATTTTTTCTTTTGTTTATTCTCTTTTGTCACTGAATTATATGGCTGTTCCCTTTGTCTTGTTTGTAAGTTTATCTGATTTGGGGAGGGGAAGGGAAAACACGGAAACAGTGGGACAGAGTGAACTATTTCAGAAGTGATACTCCCTAGATACTATGTTGGAAATGAACTATAAAACTTGCGGGGAAGGGAATCAGGAGGGAAAAAAACTTGGAAAAAATGTGGGAGGGGGTGACACTGTTTATAAGGAAATAAACTCATTACCTGACTTATGTAACAGGAATCCCTTTATACATCACCTATACAATTAAAAAAAAAAGACTGCCCAACTGCCTCCATGTCCCACTAGAGGGCGCTCTCCCTGACATCAGAAGGCAGCCAGTGCCAACATCTGGGAAAGCGTTTCTTCTACAAGAAGCCCTGCCAGGTTGATCAGCATGCCCTGTGATTTCTTTAGCTTCCTGAACAGAGTTTAACCCCTAGTCTTCTTTCCCCCAGCCCCCAGTCATTGAAAAGTGTTTTAATTTTTATGAAGTGACCTTATATCTCTAGCAGCATTTTTCCACTTGTGCTGCCCTGTCTGCAGTTTATTATAGCTGTGTTGGGTTTTCTAGGTCACTAGTCTTGTAATGTGAAAATCATGCTAGTCTTAGCTCCCTTCTTCCAATGCCAACACAAAGATGCCTTTTCTGGGCCAGGAATCCCAGTGTATTACAGACAGCATGGCCTGGGCTACAGGCCTTGCTTGGGATCCTCATTTAGAGTAGGTCTGGGGGTCTACCTTCAGGAGTGACTTCCTCCAGGGTGTCTACTGGCTTGTGACCCTTTCTGTGCATGTCTGCCATGCACTGCTTGGCATCCTCTCCCCTTTCTGCCCTTCTGATATTCTCAGGCCGGCTTTCCTCCAAGCCTCACCTCCAGCAGGATGCTGCTTCTCAGCCCATGACAGCACACATTGGCCTGCGTTGGGGAACTGCTGTAATCTCCACTTACGTGGGGCATGTGCGCTCACTGAGGACGAAGGGCGTGTAGTAACCCCCCCCCCCATTCTCTGCTGTAATAAGCACTTGTTGGATAGGTGACAGTGACACTTGTCCTCAACCGGAACCCACCAGCCTTCCTGGGTTGTGACATCAAGGCCAGAAGGCAAACCTGGAAGGTGTTGAGGTTGGGAGAAGAGAGGTAAGTGGAGGCCCAGGAGCTGGT